AGCTGTCTAAGAGCAGGTGACAACATATCTGCTTTTTTCTGGATGCCAGGTATAGTTAGCCTGATGTTAGCCTGAGTCAGGCACCAGGGAGAAGTCGAAGGCCTGGCAGCGGGTGTGAAGCATGTTGGCAAAGAATCGCGATATGTGGTGACCGTTTGGCAAAATGACGAACGTGGTCCGTCTGCTGGTAAAGAGGCTAGGTGGTGGCAGGGTGTCCGAGCAATATGCCTTATATGTGTCCTGAGTGCCTCAACGTCGTTATGTGTCGTGATGAGGTGGTCACCGGCGATAGCTATAGTAGCCATTGTCGACGCACTACGAGGCAAGCCGAGGCAAATCTGGAGTGCCTGGGACTGAATACTCTGTAGCGTTCGAAGGCTTGTTTTGCTTGCATTCGTCAATGCCGGTAAACTGTACCGCCGAAAACCGAGAAAAAGTACTCTGTACAGCTGTAGCATTGCATTGGGAGACATTCTCCAAGTCTTCGCTGCAAAGAACTTCAGTATACTACAAATGTCCATTAACCGTTTCTTCATGTACAAAACGTGATCGCTCCATGAGAGATTCCTGTCAATTATGACGCCCAAAAACTTGTGCGATCGAACGTATGGTACAGTTTGACCGTTGATGCTTATAGTGTACTTATCCATAGGCTTTTGTGTAAAAGCTACGAGGGCGCATTTCTCGGAAGAAATTTCCAAGCGTCAATTTCGTAGATAGCGTAATGTTTCAGTGGCAGCTTTTTGAATTCTCCCTCGTAACTGCAGGCGTGTTACAAACCGATTCCCAAACGCAGATATCATCTGCGTACATTGATAGCATGACCGTGCTTGGCAGATGCTCAGTGAGAGCAATTAACGTAAGATTGAACAGCACAGGGCTGAGTACGCCACCCTGGGGGACGCCACGGTGGCTGTAATGTGGAGAGGTAGGACCGTCTTCAGTGCTCACAAACAAGGATCGCATTGACAAATAACTACGTATCCAGCGATACATCCGACCACCTACTCCTATATTTTCGAGAGCGGTGAGAACAGCTTCATGCGTAACGTTGTCATACGCCCCTTTAACGTCTAAGAACAAAGATGCGCAGAGACGCTTACGACCTTTCTCGTGTTGGACGTAAGTGACCAGGTCGACTACGTTGTCAATCGATGCTCGACCACGCTGAAAACCTGCCATGGCATCTGGGTAGATGTTGTTACACTCGAAGAACCACTCCAGGCATCCCAGAATCATCCTCTCCATAACTTTGCCTACACAACTAGCCAATGCGATCGGACGATAAGATGAGAGCTCCAACGGTGACTTGCCTGGTTTCAGAAGTGGAACTAGGCGACTTGTCTTCCAGCTTGTCGGGAGCGTTCCATCTTTCCAGGATTTGTTGTACAACTCCAAAAGGAGGATTCTCGCGCGTTCACCCAGATAACACAAGGCACTATAAGAAATTCTATCGGGCCCTGGTGCCGACGTGCGTCCACACAATGCTAGTGCTGCTCTGAGCTCCCCGATTGAAAAAGGCATATCCATGCGGGAATCCAGTGTTTCTGGACAGTTAGTCGAGGGCAATAGGCTATTGGGCACTGCGAGTGGCCAAGATACTCTGGCACAGAAGTTTTCTGCCACGTCGATGCCGCGTCTCTGTTCAGAAAGTGCGAAAGCCCTGAATGGTGACCACTGAGTGGGTTTTGTGCGGAGACCTCGCACCGTCTTCCACAATTGGGATAAAGGTTTTCGCGGGTCAAGTGACTCACAAAAACAGTCCAACGTTGTGACTCGAGTTTAATTATCCGGCGCTGAATCTTCTTTTGTATACGTCGAGCAATCCGTGTCTTCTATTGCCTCCGTGCGTCGGTATCTTCGTTCAGCACGCCGTCGGATTGCTCGAAGTCATTCTAGCTCGATGTTCGATTCCATTACTTTGGGAGAGCTGGTTAGGGTACACGTAGTATCATGTACTGTGCTTTTAATTATCTTCTCTATGTCGAGGGTTATGTTTGCCTCACATAGCTCTTCCATGCGAGACTGGAATTTCAACCAGTCCACTCTCTGAACACTATCGCGTACCTTAGCATGGGACAATCCTTCGATTTTGACGTAAGTGGGAATGTGGTCACTTCCATGCGTTTCTATGTCTGGAAACCACTCAGCATGCCTGACGAGGCCTCGTGAGACAAAGGCCGAATCAAGGCAGCTGCTATACCTTGAACCACGTAGGAACGTTGGACTGCCATTATTTAGCAAGAAAAACTGGTTGTCGGAGGCGAATGACACCTACTTTCTTCCTTTAACATTGGTCTTCGAGCTTCCCCTGATTGTATGATGGGCGTTGAAGTCGCCAATTATAATGCATGGGTGAGAACTTGCTGACAGGATACCTTGTAGTCTTGTATGGTCGAAACGGCTTGACGGAGAGAGGTAGGCACCCACAACCGTGATGGTAAGTCTCCTTTTCACTGTTATACTTATATATTGATTGTCGTCATGGGGTGACACCGGATGAAGGATGTAGGTGAGGTCGCGGCGAATGAACATCAGAACTTTGCTATTGTCCGCAGTTGTAGAGAACATGAATGACTCATAACCAGAAAGTCTGATTTCTTTCTGTAAATTGGGCTCGCAGATGACAATGATGGGGAACTTATTGGTGTACACAAACCGACGGAAATCGGCGGTGCGTGACCTCAGTCCCCAGGCATTCCATTGAATAATCGCTGCCTTTCGGACCTCTTCTCTGAAACACAGTGACTGGTGAGCCATTATTTACTCAAGCGATGGGAGTACTGGACTCAAAGCGTCCAGTAATTGCAATGCACTTCTTGCTGACGGTGTGTGCATGTTGCTTAACAACAAGCGAATGGCGTTATTTAGGGTCGCAAAAGAGCTATCACTTGCTGATCTGTGTTCCGCAAGTCCACCATTGCAGCAGCTTGCTCTGAAGAAGACGGCTTCTGCTGCGGCTCTTCTGAGCGTTGTGTACGTGTAAGTGGAGGCCACTCTTCTGTAGAGACTTGCCTGCCCCTTTGCTCTTTTCCAACGTCTGTGTTTGCCGTGCTTGAAACTGCAACTGGCGATCTTTCCTGATGCGTCCACTTATTGCCTGAAGTTGGCGCTGTTCGACGTGAAGACCTTCGACGGCGACGTCGTCTTCGCCGGATTTTCTCAGCAGCTTCTTTGTGGGTTGAGCTGTCTCGTACCATTTGCTTCAGAATAGAAAATTCTTTCTTTATGTGCGGACATTCTTTCGAAGAAGCCTTGTGAGCACCCTGACAGTTAGGACACTTCAGTGTGGTAGCGTTACAGTTGTCTTCCGCGTGTGGTTCGGCGCACCGGGGGCACGCTGCGGAGCTCCTGCAAACACCCTTTACATGACCGATATTCTGACAATTGAAGCGTTGCACAAGTTTAGGAATGAACGGTCGAACTTGTTGACGAAAGTGGCCAACCTTCACGTATGCGGGAAGACAGTCACCTTTGAACGTTACTCTCACACAGCGTGTGTTACCAAGTCGTCCAACGCTGACAAAGACGTTGTCTTGACTCGCTGGTTTTATACATATTGGAAGGTCTGCGTTTGGGATTTCCGTGTTAATGTCGTCAATGACTCCTGATGTGGTCGCATCATCGGCTGGTATGATGGACCTAAATGCAATGTTTTCCAGTTGTGCTGCTTGTCGCAGGGTGCTCAGCGCACTCAGGTGTACCACATCGACAGCCAGGAGGTTTCTTCTTGTATTAAGCCGTACTTCTTTAATCTCCTTCGGCACAGTGTTCTCGAAATAGAGCGAAAGCGCTTGCCTGTTCAGAGCACACAGGCTTTCGGTAACGTTCTTTGGCAAGAACAGGATGGAATGGGGCCATCGCTGAGGCGCCGTTTTCACGATGGCTGTACTTGACACCGGCGATGGATTGATGATCCGTCGCTTGGCCTTGCGGTGCAGGACAGGTTGAAAGCCGTCGTCTGAGGACTCATCGCAGGATGCAGAGTACAGCTCAGTGTCATCGCTCTCACTGGAAGTGTTTCCTCACTTCCTCGAGGTAGTGGCCGCGGTCGAACCGGAGTCGGACGTCACCTCGTTAGGTTGTACATTCATTACCGCAACGTACGGGGCAATACACCCCACAACTGCAGCGAAAAGTCCAGAAAAGCACTGAGACAAGCGAGATGTGTTCTACAAAAAATAACTTCATCTTCCTCCCCATCAGATGAAATTAGAACATCTTATTATGTTGACGGGGTGGCTGAATTCTCCGTAGAGCCGATATCACGAGCAGCCTTGGACATGTGTGCTAGAGAGTTACGTACAAAGTTGTCGTGGAGTACTTCAGGTGCCATGAAAGCAACTTGATGTTCCATAAACGTGCTCACATTCCACGTGGTACTCCTGCAACACGGTAATGAGAATAGTACATGGAGATGATAAAAGCCTGTATTCATGACTCCGTTTGACTTGACTCTGAACGCCATGTAACATTCATTATTATCTGGAAAAGTTGTGTTTTTATGAAAAACACTTAGAGTTATGATGCCAGTTGATTTACCTCACGCTGATTACGATGCGCACTTAAGTGACTGACAAGTTCCGGGCACATAATGTTAACGCAAAGAAAGCATGAATAAAATGATTATTAGTTTGTGGGGCATGAAGGCGCTCCTGTTAGTGCTTTCATCAGTTCATTCACCCCTACAAGTTTATGTGCTGTTTGTAAAGATCTCAAAAAGAATACAAAGAAAGCATTCCAGGAATTCGTACGTAGAAGACAATTACCCATTGTAATAAGTGCGAGGGTAGTTTATCAAAGTGTCTCATTTTGCGGCATCTTTACAGCCTGCAACGCCAGTGCACTGTTGTTTCGACGAAGACATGATGAACGTGCCTTAACACGTGCGGAAGTTTGAATTCTATAGTTGAACATGCCACAAAACAGTCATAGTTTAACATCAAGTTTCATGTTTTCGCTCTTCTTCCGCACTCTGAGCTGACTGGTCTCCCTTTCAGGTCAACCAAATATCTCAGGACCATGGAGACGAAGCGGATGCTGTCATCATCCGTCACCTGGATGAAATTTTTGGCGGTTAGGAAATGGCACAAGTATGGGTGCTTCTCCAGAATGCCTCGTAACACATGGCAAATGAGTGTGTTTATTTGATGCTCTTTGTGACCACATATACTCAGTGTGCCTTGGCAAAACAAATGCCATTACAATAGCTGCTACATGCTCCTTTTTCTTAGTATGTTAGTGTATGGCACGAGCTGTACTATAAAATCCACTCACATGAGTATGCTTACCAAATGCTGCACATAACTGCATGACAAAAGCTTTTTCGCTTACAATAAATGTGTATCTGTCATCGTGTTTACTTTCTCTTAGTTTACTTCATTAATAAATGGTAAAACTCGCTGGAGTATATATAATAATTGACGCTTTTTTTCGCCATACAATAAACTTGACAAGCCCAGTGACCATATAGTGTGTCACGCAACTAGATGTATTAATTAGCCTGCTTTTTTGTAAAAGAAATATTTACAAATAAAGTTGAACTTGATACTCAGTCACACTTGTACTTACTTGAAGGACTCACTGGCACTCAATGAAAAGCCATGTATCATAATCCATAATTCCAGACTCAAGGCAGACGAGTAGTGACTCCGTATGCGGTAGCCGTCAATGAAGAAGTTGGGATTCGGTGGTGTGGCGGTTGCAGTGCGATAATAAGTTAACGGAGCTCAAAAACTCAACGGTGAAAAGGCTGGATCTTTGTTGTGTTATGTCCGGCTGTGAATTGGTACGTGATAAAAAACACTCAATTCCAACCATCCCACATAAACCCCGGCGACTTTCCCACTTTTCCTATAGGCCCAGACGCCCGAGAAGACGGGAGACCTAGTGCTGCTATGATAGTTGCGTCCCAACATGTCAATCGGTCACCCTTTTAGTGCAACAGTCCCAACACTTGGCTTCTGCAGCTCAAGGCACACTTTTGTCAATGGCAAATTACCAGGCAATGAACCAAGCAATGGCGTCTGTTTTGCTCTTGACCTCCGGACGTAGCCGAATAATGCACTGATATTTTATCGCTGCTGCACGCACACCATCCCTAAAGTACATTGAAGGCCGTTACCATTATCCACAAGTCGTATTCTGAAAACCGAATACATCAACAGCTCATCACGGCTGCAGGGCGCGGGGATAATCACCCGTCGAAATTCCTAGAACACATGCGCAAGTTAATCGCCGGGCTCTCCGCCTTTCAAAATAAGTTGTTTCATCAGTAGCTCCAGAAGTGCACAGCAGTTCATGTTCATTGTCCTTCAGGCTGCAGGAAATGTAGCAGTAGGCACACTCACTGAAATGGCTGATCGATTGGCGGCCTACTCGCGAGCTCACAGCCTGCACGCCTTTGCCACACCGCAGCCGGCCAGTGCTGCAGACTCTGCACTCGTGAGAACCAAAAACTGTTTGAGCACCATTGTGAGGCATTTTGATAACTTTGTACCGTTGCATTGCCAACCATAATCTACTCTTTACTTGTACAGTCGCTCCTTGACGCCCCCACGCTCTACTGGAACTTTGGTCAACAGAAGCGCCGCGAGAAAAGTCATCCTTCATTGTAAGCTGGTGCCACCGCCTATTTCATGCCTTGTCTCGCGTGGACACTAACCCATGCTCCTGGTGAGGAAATTCTGGGACGGGCTTTTGACCATGGCAGGTGGGGCTAGTCTGAAATCTTTCCGCAAGGCAATGTATTGATAAAATCACTGGCACTGCTGCTGGTTGACAGAAGGGCCAAACTTAAAGTCATGCCGACCTCGTGTGCACATCGACATCACAACGGACAGACCTAACCCTTCCATGCAATCGTGGATTCTGCCATCCACTTATACCACTTATGTCCTCTTACTATTGACCGCTGGCTTTGAAACGTGACGCTACGATACTGAGTTCGTTGTGGCTTGGTGTGGTTTTTGCCAACTCACTCAGCTACTATATTGTAAAGGCTGGCTCACCCAACAACGGCCGCTACAACTGCGTAGGAACTCCTGATCATGCTCTGAGATGATGTCCGCATTTCGAACATAATCACCTAGATTATTCTGTCTTTACTCGGAACATATCTCGGGTTGTAGGTATCACAGTAAATCAGCCGAGAACGTCACACAAGTCCTTCTACAGTTCTTCAAAGCAACATCACTCGGCGACCATCGACGAAAACTTCAACTGTTTATGTAGTGTGCAATGCAGTTTTCAATATTCCTCCTTCTACTCCCTCAGTCCCCTCTCCGCATGTGTGGGATAGCCAAATTCAAATGATCTGTTAACCTTCCTATCTTTCCTAATCTCAGTATCTCTCTCTACTTGCTGACTTTCCCTTCATTGCGAAGCCACACACCGCAGATTAACCACTGAAATCACCGTCGCTGACCGCATTGTGAGAACTGGACCTCCTATTTTTACATAGCCCCATCAGCTACTTGGAGAGTGCTTCTCGATTGCCCACCACGCGGTTAAGCACAGGCTTGAGCTTAGAAACTTCTTGAACAGGCTTGAACTTCCTAAAGCAACTGGGCGCATCGACACTCAACATAGGGCCGAGGAAAAGTCTCGGTGACGGGCGCCCATGTGGGGATTACCGACAGCTGATCGCCCATACAATACCAGACGGCTACTCACCTTCTTTTATACAGTACTTCAAACTTTGCCTGAAGGCTCAATATTCTCTAATACTGACTTCTGAACTACCCGCCGACATTTCGAAGACGGTCATAAACACCCGACCCTATCCGGCCTGTTCGACTACGTAAGGATGCGGTTTATATTGTGCGATTCTGCAACCAAAATGGTTTAGCTAATTCTTTTAGCTAGCCAAGTAAGCTAGTGGCACAAAAAATGGCAGATCCCACGTTACTGTACAAATTGATGTTTTGCGAAGCATGCGAAAGAAAGATGACTGCTTTGCAATTTTTCTTGAAAAAATATTTAGGACCTGGAACTAAAATATGTACAAATGAACACACAGGCATACGTTAAACAGCTGCACATTTTTTATACGACGAGCTATTTACAGTTTTGTTACGGTGCCAATTGTAACACGGATATCAGCAATACAAGAAGCCGTAGGCTAATACGAATGGCTGATATTAGAATTTTAGCCATAGACACTGCTACATAAACAGGCTTATGTAGATAAAACCTAACAATAATAGACATCAAACTGACATGACGGTTGTATCATATGATTACATGCGTAATGTTTTAGGGGCGAAGCTCCTTAAAGCGGCACCCGTTCGTCCCTCGTAGTATGTAACATGTCTTACGCTTTGACCTCTAAGAGGGTGCCGGTGGGAGATTTCTCCTCTGCTTTGTTGAACAATAAAAAAATCGCAGCGTTTGCGTTAACTAAAAACCAAATTTTTCTGTCTCTCATTCCCCATTAGCAGCCATTGACATGTTCCAGTAGGCAACGTTAGTAGAAGTAGAAGTGTAAGTGTTAGCTAAAAGCCGACTTCTGCTGTCTCTCATTCCCAGTAGCAGCCATTGCTTACCTCCGTGATTAATGTTCAAAACGCCGTTGATTGATGAAAAAAACCAACGAAAGACGCCAGATGTTTTCTCAAAGCAAAACGAAAAAACGCCAGATGTTTCTAAAGCAAAACGAAAAGACGCCAGCTGCTTATCGAAAGACGCCAGGTGTTTTCTAAAGCAATAGTTTTATAATCAAAACCATATCAAAAAATCAAATCATAAAATTTATCACGCCAATTCAACGCTCAAAAATTCGACGCTTTTTCCTCCCAGTTATCATTCGACAAGAAACGACCATCAGTTCAAGGTTGGCGTACCCAGCAGCCGGACAAACTATTATTTCAACTCATTTATTCCTAAAACCAGCTCGGACTGGAACCACCTCCCCACCTGCATTGCTTCAATGATTAATCCAGCCAATTTCAAGGTGGCTATTAGTGGACATATTACCTGAATTTTTTTTCCGCGAATTCCGCGGTTTTGTGTAAATCCTGCTCGGTTGTTCCCGTGTACGGCAAATGTTTTTTTGCGCCTTTTGATTTCTCCTTTCTGTTGTTTGTTTATTTTCCAGTTTATGCGGATATTTCAAATATGTTTCATATGTGTAACCACACTCCTGCTGCATTGTATACCTGTAGAGTGTTTAACCCCCACTCCTCTCTGTAATGCCCTTGGGCCCTGAGAGTAAATACATAAATAAATAAATAAATATCGCGATACAGGTTTGCACTTGACGTTGCTCGTTGCCTTCGGTGTGTGCTCGTATGGATAAGGATGCCGAAAGTAGAATAAACTTTTTTCTAGAACTCGAGGTGGTTAAAGGTGGGAAATAGACCCAAAGCGCAAACCGTTAGATGTGTGCGTGTGCCACCTCTCGTTCAGTCCTTGGAATGTCCACTGAATGGCGGTGCTTCTATATAGGGAATATATGATAAAAATATCGGAGATGGTGGTACTTGGAGCGTTCAATAGAAGGACGAACGGACAAACAGACAGATGCATGGATGGATGCATGAACGGACGCAGGGGTGGATGCATGGAAGAACCCATAGCGGACGCACGAACAGACGCACGAACAGACACATGTACGGACGGGCGGATGGACGCATGGACGGTGACACAGACGGACGCATGGACGGACGGAAGCAAGAACGAATGGACGGACGAATACTTCGCCCCACTCTCCATTATTGACTCCGTGGATATGCTGCCAATGTTTTTCATATCCGTATAGGATAGTTGAGATGACAAAGTAATTCTACAGAACATTGTAACCGAGCCGAAATAGCGAGCCTGAAGTCATAAAAAGAAATATCAGCTCCGAAGGATTCAAATTCCTTTCAGTAACAAAAGAGGAAGTAAAGAAAGGCCTGTAAAAAATGCAAATAGACAAAGCCTCTGGTGAGCATAAGCTGAAAATGGACCTGTTGAAAGATGACGGACAAATTGTGCAAGAAAACCAGGCCCCCTGTATACAAAGTGTCTCTTTGTGGGAAGATTACCAGAATCTTGGAAGAACGCTATCACCTTAATCCTTAAGAAAGGAGACTTCAAGGACTTGCAAAACCACAGGCTGGTCAGCTTATTGTCAGTTCTATAAAACTATCCACTGAATCACACTCGCCGTCAAGAACTTCGGTTCATTACTCCACTTTACAGCTGTTATGCAAGACTTCGTGACGTTACGCTACAATGCTGTGTTGGTTGTGGCTTAGCGTAGCCTTTACCAATTCATTCTTTTATCGCACTGGTATGGCCGACTCCTCCAACTGTGATAATTGCAATTGCTCAGAAACTTTGGACCAAATCATTTGCCATTATTATGATATTTCGGACGATTGCCGAACTCTCCATTGTGGCTTAAGGGGACTTGACTGATCAACCGTTTATTATGAAGAAGATCTTAATTGTGTGGCCTTCTTGCCCAGAAACAACACGAGTCCTTCTACAATGCATAAACAATGGAAATTAATGTGCATAAACCTGAAGTTCTGCGCAGCAGCCTTGGCAGTAAACAGAGATATGTCA